GCCATCTATTGCCATCTATTGCCATCTATTGCCATCCATTGCCATCTATTGCCATCTATTGCCATCTATTGCCATCTATTGCCATCTATTGCCATCTATTGCCATCTATTGCCAAATTCCAAGGTAATCGAGCCGAATAAATAAAATTAGTGCTCAATTATTCTCTTGGTTGATCCATCGCATCGCAGAGTGATCGATCGACGTTCGGTGAGGAGTTGAAGGGACAAATTGGCTTCTTTTCTTTAGTAGAGAAAGAAAAGAGGTGCCAAAAATGAGCCTCTTTTCAAATGATCGAGTGTTTCTCAAGTTTTCTTCTTTCGAACTCTAGTATTTACGGGTAGCTTGACAACAGCTGACTCTATTCAATGCTCAAACAATCCTTTCCACACCTTGCTGGCTTTAGAGCTACTGTAACCCTAGAAAAATATAGCTGATAGTTACTAAGTTTATAACTTATTTAACATTTTATAGCATTTTATTTTCGATTTGTTATTTGTTTCAACATTGAATCTTTATCAGTAGCTGGTAGTGCGATCAAAATCCCAAAAATCACTTCAATGCACGAGAAACTTTAGCTATTAGAATTTTGATTTTGAAAAGAATAAAAGGCAATTTAAAAGATTTCCAGCATTATAAAGTTATCAAAATCAATGAATATAGATAACCAATGGATAACCAATTGGTAAAAGAGATTAAAACTAGAGTGTGTTCCTCGCGAGTAAGTAAATTACTCGAGTAAATTTGCATGATTGATTTTTTACTCCGTAATGCGTTTTCTAAAAAGTGCGTCTGCGCGAAAACAAATATAAAAGCAATTTTTTGCGCAGGTTTTGGGGAAGGCTAATTTCCGCAATTTTTTTTTGCGCAACAGAGCCATTTGAGCAACTGGGTCGTTTTCGCAACTCGCCATAACTTTCTTCTAAGTAGGCCAAACTTTATGGTTTTGGTTCACTTAGAAGAGAGTTATGGCGAGTTGCTCAAATGACTCTGTTGCGCAAAAAAAAAAATTGCAAAAACCAGCCTACCCCAAAAAAAAAATCATTTTTTTACATTGGAAGGGAATTTCCCACCAAATCAGCTAAATGGCTGAGTATCTTTGAAAAGTGTCGTATATAATGCGGGGCTCGTGATTTTTGCGGCATTTTTTTGCAATAATTTTTGCTAAACGTACGGTAATTTTTTGCCGAAGTGTGCGTTTTGAAAAACGCATTACTCGCGAGGAAAACACTCTAACCTTTAACGTCACTCTAAACTCGTGCTTTTCACTGTTTACTTCTAGTAATTTCCCCCTTGAGCCTCTCTAAAATCAAATTCCAAGCTATTAGCTTGGTAAATATGAAAGGTTATTTTTTACAAAAAATATTGCCCTGTCGTTACGAAGAAAATTCGCTGTCTAGGATTTTTCTCAATAATATGTCAAAATGTGCTCATGTTTTTTTTGCAAAAACATTTTTGTTTTGAACAATATTTGTATTGTTTCAGCTCGGCAAAGATGGATAACCAAAAATTTAAAATCAGGGCCGCCATTTTCTTTGAATTCAAGTTAAACAAGAAAGCTACGGAATGCCATCAGAACATTTGTACTGTTTTTGGAGAAGCTACTCTTACTTACAAACAATGTTGTGTTTGGTACGGTCGCTTCAAAACGGGAAACGAGTCATTGGAAGACGCACCACATGGAAAGCCGCCGATTACTTTGGACGATCAGCTGTTACTGAACGAGGTCGACTTGGATCCATCGCAAAAGTGTAGAAAATTAGCAGAAAAGTTCGGATGCACTCATGTTACCATTTACACGTTCTTGGGAAATCATATCGAAGCGGGAAATGGCTCCCCCACGACCTCACAAAGTCACACGAGTCACCTTGAGCTCTGTTCTTCTACGTAAAGCTAGCCATCGTGACTTTTGGAAGTATTTTTTGACATCTGATGAGACTTGGCTTTCGTATGAAAATATTCAACTCTATGGACAGTGGCTGAGTTCGAAGCGGACCTCTCATTCTATCCCGAAGCCTCCGAAAAAGTTATGCTTTGTGTGTGGTGGAATGCTAAGGGATTGGCTCATTTGGAAATATTAGATAAAGGAGACACTGTTGACGGAAGACTTTATGCAGAACAAATGGGTCGAGTCGATCCAGCATTGAGGAAAAAGAGGATCGATCCATCGAAGGTCAGATTTCTTCACGACAATGCTAGGCCTCACATTTCAAAAATCGTCCACGAACAAATCGACAAGTTGAGCTGGAAACTTCTTCCACACCCACCATACAGCCCTGATCTAGCCCCATCGGATTACCATCTCTTTCGGTCAATGAAACAAGCAGTTTCTGGACAGCAGTTCAAACAAAAGCAGGACATCGAAAATTGGGTTGCCAACTATTTTGCCTCTAAAAATCTTTAATTTTACGAGGACGGTATTCGTGATTTGGGGCAACGTTGGAAAGAAGTTATTAATGCTTGTGGTGGATACATTTGATTTTGAAAGTGCTTAAATAAATTTTTCTGTTATGTTAAAAATGATCAAAAAAATAACCTTTCATATTTACCAAGCTAATACTAATCTCTGCTAATATTTGTCTAGTTGTCTAAAGCTACTGTTTAAGCAAAATTTGTTTTAAAATAAACAGTATGCGTTTTGAAAAAACGCATTACTCGCGAGGAAAACACTCTAATTAAAACTAATCTCTTTTATTTATTTGTTAATGTTTTTGTACAGAATTTACCTGTTTCTATGCACATTTTTCCAGTTTTCTCAGGCTTTTCTCCTAAAATTTCTCACGCTTTCCCCTCAATTACCCTAAAGTCCTTGATTTTCAACTTTACAACCGTCAAATTGCAAATGGATTCTTGAATTTCAGAATAGAAACTTGTCTTGAGATCTGTCTTGAGGTCTGTCTTGAGGTCTGTCCTAAAATCTGTCTTGAGGTCTGTCTTGAGGTCTGTCTTGAGGTCTGTCCTAAAATCTGTCTTGAGGTCTGTCTTGAGGTCTGTCTTGAGGTCTGTCTTGAGATTGTCTTGAGATGAAAATTGCTGAGCGCTTACCTAATCCAGATCGAAAAATTGCTTTGAAACAAAAATCCGACACACACAAAAAACGATGTTGTCAGTGTGAAAATTGGGTTTTTTTTTCTCACTCTCAATTCTTCGGCTTCAATTCTCAGGCACCCCATCTCCTTTGTGTGCATAATGGTGCCCCGATAGGTCCCCGGGGTCTCCTCTCATCTCTTCCCATTCTCTCACCCATCCCACAGCTGGCTAAAGCCTCTCCATCTCTGATTTTGAGGTTGAACGATTGAAACAAAAAGCAATCCAAGTAAAGCTTATAACTCTTTGCTAACTGTGACTAAGATCTATTTCATTTTGTGAATTCCTTTTGAAATCTTTACATTTGACAAGGGTTAGGTCAAAGAATCTTCCAGCTGAGCGCTTACCTGATCCAGATCGAAAAATTACTTTAGAATCAGCTTTAGAACAGCTCTGATTCATCAAACCTAACGTTAAACTCTGTTGATAAACTTTAGAATATTCATATTTCTTTTAAAAGCAGTTAAGTTTGAAAGATCTGTAAGTTTGTTGTACTCTAATTCAACAATAAGGCAACCAATTTATTGCTAAGCATTTTCATTGCATTTCTTCAAGAATACATTGACAATTTAAATTTACATGACTTCAATTTAGTATCTACAATATTGTAAAAAGCAACAAATATTATGTTTTAAGTTTTTCAACTTTTCCAAGAACCTCTTCACCGGATCCAACAGATCTAGGTGTCCAAAAGGTCCAAAAGGTCCCAAAGGATCAGTGTCTCGGGGTGATTCGATCATTTCCTCTCCATTTCTTTATTCACCGAAGAAGAAGAAGAAGAAAATTGCGTGATCGCGAAATATTCAAGGAGCGATTACATTTTCACCCTTTCCTTTCCCTTTCTTTTTTTTTCTCCGTTTCCTTTACCTTCCGGTTTCTTTCTCGATTTGGGGAAGCTGTTGGAAGGGAAGAGAATCGAGAAAGAGACCGGAATAGGTGGGAATAGGTGGGAATAGGTGGGCGGATTCAGTTAAAACAATTTTCTCTTCTACAAAATATATCTATCAAAATCATTTACTGATAAGATTAACTGTAGAAGTAATTGTCTAAAGTAATTTCTAATGAATTCCATTCGGTTCTCGTTCTCATTCTCTGTTTCTTGATGTTTGTGATGGAAAGCATAAACTTTTCGTTTCAATGATTTGTTAAGAAGTTATTGTCGAGGAATGATCTTAATACAAAGTTCAAAAAAATCAAGGCAAATCGATTTCAGAATTTCTAGATCAATTGATTCTAAATGTTGACAATTTTACTTGATTGTGAGATTTTTTAGAGTAGGATTAGAGTAGGATTTTTCTAAAGGCAACTCAGTTCTAGATCTTATTCTCTCCATAGCTTCAGTTCTTGGCCTTATTCTCTCCATAGCTTCAGTTCTTGATCTTATTCTCTCCATAGCTTCAGTTCTTGGCCTTATTCTCTCCATAGCTTCAGTTCTTGATCTTATTCTCTCCATAGCTTCAGTTCTTGGCCTTATTCTCTCCATAGCTTCAGTTCTTGATCTTATTCTCTCCATAGCTTCAGTTCTTGGCCTTATTCTCTCCATAGCTTCAGTTCTTGATCTTATTCTCTCCATAGCTTCAGTTCTTGGCCTTATTCTCTCCATAGCTTCAGTTCTTGGCCTTATTCTCTCCATAGCTTCAGTTCTTGGCCTTATTCTCTCCATAGCTTCAGTTCTTGGCCTTATTCTCTCCATAACTTCAGTCCTTGATCTTATTCTCTCCATAGCTTCAGTTCTTGATCTTATTCTCTCCATAATTTCACTTCTGTATGTCAGCCTTTAAATCTTCTTTTTGTATCGTCCTTAATTTTTCGAAATTCCCTTCTCTTGTTCTTTTTTCAAATTCTCGTTTTGATTTTCAAATTCTCGCTTTGATTTTCAACTTTTCAGTGTTCTCTATGCTTTTACGTGTGAAGCGATGAGCCTCCGTGTGCTCGTTTTCTCACTTTTTCATCCGGAAATCATTTCTTCGTTCATTTTTGGATCAAATCAAGAACAAGACTTTTGCTATCAATTGGATTTGGAGAATTGCTTTCGAGATATTTTCATGGTTTGTTTGAATGGAAAATGAGTGACGGTTGATGCTGGTAAATCCTTGACTAAAGCCTAAAGTCAACTGGGTTTATCAAAGCTTAAAGATTCAAACTTTTTTGTCACACACACATTCACATAATATTTTATTATGCATCACGCTTTTCCTCTCTTTTCCTCTGTTGGGAAAAGTTTAGGAAAGAAAAAATGGATCGATTAGAAATAGATCTTAGGAAATTATTGTTCTAGTTTATTGGTATAGCTATTGGTACTAAAAACTACATTGGTATAGGACTTTGAAAATTAAATTCAAAATTTACCATTTCAGGCAGTGATGCTCCCACCAGAGCGACGTGTTCGCGAGGTGCCTCTCTTCGCGAATGCAAATTTTTCCCGGTTTGCGAGGTGGAGAACTTTTATGTGAACTTTGAAATTGATTTGGCTCTAACCGGGCTCTAAAGCCGGCTCACTATTAATTCAGTGAGGCTTCAGGCTCAGGGGCTAGGCTTCTTATGGGCCAGGCTTCTTATGGGCCAGGCTTCTTATGGGCCAGGCTTCTTATGGGCCAGGCTTCTTATGGGCCAGGCTTCTTATGGGCCAGGCTTCTTATGGGCCAGGCTTCTTATGGGCCAGGCTTCTTATGGGCCAGGCTTCTTATGGGCCAGGCTTCTTATGGGCCAGGCTTCTTATGGGCCAGGCTTCTTATGGGCCAGGCTTCTTATGGGCCAGGCCTACACCAGACAGGCCAAGGCACAACCAGAAGCCAGACTAGAATCTAAGCTCTGTCAAAACTCTATATTTGATCGTTATTTCAGAGACTTTTGATCTGGATGTTGCTTTTGGAAGAAGTTTATGTTTAAACTCTATATTTAAACTCTATATCTAAACTCTATATTTAAACTCTATTTGATCGTAATTTTAGAGGTCAACCGGCTCTCCGAAATTTGATGTTGTGTCACGATGTACGGCGGATAGCAATGTGTTTCACGTATCCCGGATGCACTGATGAAATGGCTTCACATGTAAATAGCAAAAAGAGTTTACCATATTCTATATAAAAAGTTTTTTTTACAGAGAAATTTCGATTTCTTCAATTTTCTTCAAATTTCTTCAAATTTCAGGTGGCCGCCGTTCAATATCATATGGTTTTTGGGAAAAAATTGCCTAGTCAAGTGTTTCTCTCGTATCGAGGATATGGGAAACAGGTTTGCAAAACGTTTTTTCTTTTATTTTTAAAGAATCTACCGAGTTTTCGATATAGAACTAAACCTTTGAAAAAAAAGGATTCGGAGAAGGATTTGAAGAGACCGGATCTAAAAATTAATAGTTTTTGATGATTTGGCTTTAAAAATGTGACCCGTTTTATCCGTTTTATCCGTTTAAACACTTGAAAATACTCGAGAAACACTTGAAACACTTGAAAATACTCGAGAAAGTACACTTGAAAATACTTTCATGTTTATCAAGATCTTTCTTCATTTATCTTTTTATATGTTTACAAAGCTATATAGTCCTTAAATACAGTACAGTTTGGGGTGCGACCCGCTTTAACCTTATCATCGAGGATGATTTTGCTTCAGAATAGCCGAATTGCACAAAGGAGGTTAAATGGGTTTCCCCAAAGCGCTTACAACACAACAAGAACGCGCAGCATCCAACACAAGATTAATACTCGTCGGTGGCGACACAAATGTTAGTAAGCTCTCTCTACAATGGTAAACCAGTTATCTAAACAGGATTTAAAAACTGAAGTGTAGCAGAAAGTAAGTTGAATTTATAATTTTACTGTTTATTATTAGGTTGTCCAATAAGTAATGCGTGTTTTGACACGATTTTCAAAATATCACAAAATTAACAAAAGAGAACTTTATTAATCGATATATTCTCCACAACAATCAACAACATTTCTCCATCGTCCGAGCAAAGAGTGAAGTCCGTCATAATAGAATGAAGCTGGTTTCGATGAGAAGAAATCGTCGAGCCATTTTTGCACCTCGTCAACACTTTTGAACTTGTGTTCTCCAAGAGCGTGCGCCATCGAACGGAACAAATTCGGCCAACTCACGAGTAGTTTGAGTTGGATCAGACTCAATGGTGTTAAGCAAAGCTTCGTTATCAAAAACGACTGGCCTTCCAGCGCGTTCCTCGTCCTCTAACGACTCGTTTCCGTCCGCAAATCGTTTAAACCAGCGCTGGCACTGGCTGATTGAAATTGAATCCTCTCCAAATGCGGCACAGATAGTTCGATGGCAATCCGCTGCAGTTTTACCTCGTTTGAAATCATACAGCATTGATGCGCGGACAACAAACTTTTTGTCTTTCATCTGCAAAACAACATATCTATTATAAAACAAAGGCAAATGAATAAAATAATATATAAAAATAAACACAAGATGCTGATGATTAAAAAGAGCATATATTTGCTCGAAGCGATTTCGCAATAGTTTCGAAATAAGTAACACGCATTACTTATTGGACAACCTAATGGTACAAAACCAAAATGCAACAATACCTATTACAAAAACAGCATGCGCATCAAAAGAAACAACAAAAGTCCCTCAAAAGAGGGAAGGCAAAAAGCCACCCGCAGACCAAAAAACAATTTTGGGAAGGGGGGAAAAAGGATGACGCGACGACGCTAAAATGCGACGCGAATAATTGCAAAATAGCAACGCAAATAGGAAGGAAACGGACGCGACCGTACTCAAATAATAATTTTTAAAGAAAAATCATCCAAACTTTGATTTCTTTGTTGCAAATTGTACAGTGATAGTGCGAGAAATGGATCTGCATTCGATGACGAGAAAGTGACGATGAATGACAGAAAACTTTTGAGCAAAGTGAGCATGGATAAGTACCTGTAGAAGTTTTCGTAGATGCTAGGTCGAATTTGTTTGTAAAACAAATTAAAACAAACAAATTGTAAAACCGGTCTCTTCAAATCCTTCTCCGAATCAAATCCTTCTTCAAATCCTTTTTTTAGACGAATTTCGTCTTTTTTTTTAGGTTTGTGATCAGGGTTGTTCACAATTCGCTCTCAATGAATGCAAATCGAAGATGAAAGCCAATCATAAAGATGATGAATCGATGCTCAGGAATTTAGAGGAATTGGGTTAGCAAAAAATTTCGAACTTCTAACTTCTAACTTCGACTTTCAATTTTCAGCTAGCTCGGCGATAAACTCACCGGATTCCGAAATGGGATGTCGACTGTTTAAGAGACAATTCAAAGAGGTGATTGAAAAGGAAAAATTTGATCAATTCTCTAAAGCAACCTCGTAAGCTGAACTGCAGTTACTTTAGCTTGAAGGTTTTTTTCACAAAAATGATGCTTTTAGTTGTTACGAGAGCGATCTGGTCCTTGTAGTCACATTTCAAAATGCACTTGTATGGAGCCCACACTTAAAGCGGTAAGCGATTAATAAAGATCAATTCGTAATCGATTTGAGAACATGAACTTGTCAATAGCCACCTGATTTGCTTTTGGATTCATTTCATATACCGTATTCTCTCTAATAGTAGTGCACCCGGAGCGTCACCTAAATTCCTCAAAATCTCAAAAACCGCTTATCAAAACCTATCGATGTGGGGTCGGAAAATGTAGCTGACGATGAGATCTTGTGGGGGATTAGAGTGTTGGACTTCTGGAGAAAACTTGGAAACCGTAAAATCGTCATCAACTCGGCTAACCGGGAAATATTAGGGAAATAGATGAGTCTGATCTACTAGCCTAACCTGGAATGATATACCGTCTTCTCTCTAATAGTAGTGTACCCAAAGCTTCCCCTAAATTCCTCGAAATCTCGAAAAGCGCTTATCAAAACCTATCGATGTGGGGTCGAAAAATGTAGCTGACGATGAGATCTAGTGGGGGATTTGAGTGTTGGACTTCTGGGGAAAACTTGGAAACTGTAAAATAGTGATCAACTCGGCTCGGCGGGGTGCACTACTATTAGAGAGAATACGGTAATCCTTCTTTTTCAAACTTTCAAAATTATCGTAATTGATCTAATCGACTTTTTGCGTCTTTTGTATTAGTCTGTCGTAGTCTGTCTCGACTTTTCTATAAGGACACCCTCATAGAAAAGTCGAGACAGACTACGCTAGGTTTTAAAAGTCGAAAAGAGATTGCAAGTTCAGTTTCCTTTTCCAGGGTCTCTCCCATTGTAATGTTGGGTGTGAGCACGAGTTCGACGCTCCCGATTCCTCAAATTCTCTGAATTCATCGATTTCCCTCATTTTCTTCGTCTTTCTGAGATTGCTTTTCTAGATTGAATAGAGATTTTTTTTCTAAATTTTTATCATTTCGTGCTTTCAATCGGCCATTTTTGGTTATTTTCTGGGAGTGGGACAAATGCGACCTTTTTTTTGCGCACCCGGACATTTGCGCACCTTTTTTTCCGCACCTTGCCCATTAGCGCACCTTTTTTCGCGTTTTAAAAAAGCTCTAAAAAGCTAATATTAACGAATTTCTATTCGAAAAGTTATTTTTTCTAGGTAATTTTAGCGCGTAGAATCGAAATTTTGGCATATCAGAGCTTGTGGAACCAATTTGAAAGACAAAACGGCTAGATCAAATTACAGAAAATTGTCTCTTTGTATAACGTCCGTCCGTTTGTTTCCACAAGCTCTGATATGTCAAAATTTGAATTCTACGCCCTAAAATTACCTAGAAAAACAACTTTTGGAATAGAAATTCGTTAATATTAGCTTTTAGAGCTTTTTTAAAACGCGAAAAAAGGTGCGCTAATGGGCAAGGTGCGGAAAAAAAGGTGCGCAAATGTCCGGGTGCGCAAAAAAAGGTCGCATTCGTTCCACTCCCCATTTTCTGATGAAAATTTGCATTTTTGTGCCAAAAGAGCTTTTTACAAGAGAAAAAATGTTTTTTTTTTGAGATTTCAAAGTTGTGTTGAAGAGACTTCTCGGTGAATATGATTTTTAAAAAAAACTAAAACCATTATAACTTCTTTTAAAGTTGTCATTTCTAAATTTTTATTTGAGACGAGGTTCTGTGATGATTCAATAAATAAAAAAAAATTAAAATTAATCTTTTTCTTTTTAATCTTTTTCTTTTAATCAAATCTTTTCAAATTATAAAGTTTTTTTATTAAGAAATAAATGTCAAGTAAAGCAATTGCGTTGAGACGTTTGAGACGAGGTTCTGTGATCATTCAATAAATGAAACTCAAAATCAAGCAAGACCAGAGCCAAGATACTGAGCCGGCTTGGCTGGCTACAGTTTCTTGGCTTCTATACCTGGAAGCTAACAATCTAGCAATGTCTGATTGATAGCAAAACTTGAGTTTGATTGGCTTTCTTATTAATTATAATAAATTGGCCCATCTTGATCATTTTTTTTTCAGAATTCTGTTTAGAAATGATCGAAAAAATCTTTTTTTTTTTAATCTTTTTAATTTTTTTAATCTTTTTCTTTTAATCAAATCTTTTTAATTATAAAGTTTTTTATTAAGAAATAAATGTCAAATACAGCAATTGCGTTGATTTTTGAAAGTTGAAAAGTGCATAGAAAAGGCTGATTTTGATGAGGTCACGCATTTTTGCATAAGCTGTGAGGTAAAAAAAAGGCCTTTGAGGCAAAAAATGATCTTCATTTGATCACCAAAAGCTACGTAAAGCTGCGAAGAAAAAGAAGAAACTATTTGAGTATTTAACTCAACGTTTGAGCTTTCTGGATTCAGTTTTTCATTTTCTCTTTTTCAAATTTCAAATGAATCGAACAATTCTGTTGATTTTCGTGCTGTTTTGTGCAACGATGGCTCGGTTTGTGACAAAAATCTAGCATAAAAAACTCTCCAAGAATCGATTCTTTTAAGGGAAAATATTTTAGCCGTCATAAGTCACATGTTCAGCACAATGCTTTACGCCAAAATCCGGTTACACCGGCGCCGATGAACAATGGAAATCGTCAAGGTTAATAGATTAAAGGGATAGTGCGTTTTCTAAAGCCAGAAATTACCGTGCTCTTGGCGGGATTCTCGAGAGAATGTTATCAGATAGATTCGATAGAAATTAGAAGCAAGATTACGGTGATCAAGAAAATTGGAGCGTTTTAGAAAGCGAATCGCGCGAAAGGTTCACCCCATAATATATTGGGTTGGTGAATTGAAAACTGCCGGACTTTGAACTAGAATTTATTGAACATAAAACCATGAATTCATTCGAAATAATTTCCATTATTATTGACGACTTCTGCCCATTTTACAGGCAATTTGCGGATTCCTCTTTCGTGGTAGGATTTTGGTTTGTGTGTGAGACAAGTGTGAGACTCAAAAATCGAGGACTGGAGATGTCCCAGTTTGAGCACTTTCTTCAAAAAAAACCCATTTTGGTGTCAATAGAAAAGTTGTAGAGAATCAAAAATGAGGCTTATAGCCAAATCTCCAAAAAGATATACTTAGTAGTTCCGCTTAAAATGTTTTGTGAAATGCGAGTTTTGTGAAAATTCGTAAATTTCGCATTTCTTGAAAACGAGTTTTTGAATCGTTCTGAAAATTTGGATATAAGCTTGATTTTTGATTCTCTACAACTCTTCCATTGACACCAAAATGGGTTTCTTTTGAAGAAATTGCTCAAACTGTCACATATGACAATAGCCGGCAGTTTTCAATTCATCAACCCAATAGATTGAGATTAGCCTTGATTTGAGGAGAAGTCAATGTCCAATTTGAGGATTCGGAGCCGGCCAGATTAGCTTGGTAAAGGGAGACGGAAGGGTGTTATGTAAAAGCCCTGCGCCAGACGACGAGCGATTACGCGGCCGCACAAAGAACACACAAATTTTAAGCGAAACTACTAAGTGTATCTTTTTGGAAATTTGGATATAAGCTTGATTTTTGATTCTCTACAACTTTTCCATTGACACAAAAATGGGTTTCTTTTGAAGAAAGTGCTCAAACTGTCACATATGACAATAGCCGGCAGTTTTCAATTCACCAACCCAATAGATTGAGAAATAACCAATGCAAATAGGTGAAAACAATCAAGCGTATGGACAACAAATCACACAAAACAACAATGGCTTCAACTCGTCCCCGGAGGACCCTTTTGATTCTGCTGAATCCATTGAAAATAACAATGCACAACAGAGGTGAGACTATAGAAAATGATAAAGCCAAGATTTAAATTTAGACGATTTATCCGCTATTGATTGCGAGATCAACCAAGCCCATGTTTTTTTTGTGTTTTATCAAATAAACTTGCTTGTTATAGCGTTTTCCTTTTGATAAATGCACAAAAAAAAAGAGATTTTCCACACTTACAGATATACAGAAATACTTTTTTTGAAAGGTTTATTGAAGAAAATTTCTAGCGGCTGTCATTTCGCAGTACAATTCGGCGGAATATTCATTATCTCGATCGACGTTCCTTTACAAATGTCTCCAATTAAATCATGATTTTTAAGAAGTGACCAAAAAAAACTAGAACCAGTAAAAGTCTTTTTGGAGAATTTGGTTGTAAAACAAGAGTTAACCATTCTTTAAAAAGCTTTCTGCTCACAATGTGTGTAGGACAACCAAATTATCTCGTTGTATTGCTGAATTGATACGAGGAAAATAGTCATCCTTCTCTTGTAACACGACAAAAAGTGATCCCGATAAAGATCAAAAAAAAAAGATCCGTTCGCCATTCATATCGCGAGAATTGTATAAGAATGAGCTAAAGAATCCTTGTTTTATTCCTTATTCCCATAAGAGTAATTGCAGTCATTTGCAAAAGTCTTTTGACATTCAATTTTCTTTGATAAATTTCATGGCGAAAGTTCATGGCGAGCTTTAAGCTATTAATAGTTTTTGGTTACACAAACGTTATCGCTCTACGACACTTATTGAGACAAAATAGAATTGTCAAAAAATCCCTAAAAATCGGGGTGCAAAAGTCTTTTAACATTGACCAGCAGGAGCCTAAAATTGATTGTAAAACAAACCATTCTTTAAAAAGCTTTCTGCTCACAATGTGTGTAGGACAACCAAATTATCTCGTTGTATTGCTGGATTGATACGAGGAAAATAGTCATCCTTCTCTTGTAACACGGCAAAAAGTGATCCCGATAAAGATCAAAAAAAAAAATCCGTTCGCCATTCATATCGCGAGAATTGTATAAGAATGAGCTAAAGAATCCTTGTTTTAAATCAAGATTTCAACTCTATCCGATCCTTTTGGAGTCAAAGTCTGAGCCGTGGTAACTTCTTTAACAAACTCTGATTGGTCACAATTCGAAAAGAAAAGGTCAATAGTAAAGGTTACCAGCTCATTTCAGAGAGCTGGTAACCTTTTCTATTGACAATATTTTTTGAATACACTCACAAAGTCCTAGCTTGTTTTATTTGATCCCTGTTTTTGTACGAAGTCTTTATTACAAACTTGGTGATCCTCCTCGATGTAAATCCAGCAGCACATCGTATCTTATAAGCTCAACTCGGAGATCCAATAAATTCAGGTATCAATTTATTCTCGTTGTTAACTTGGTGCCCAATATCTTCGTAATGGATTTCAATTCCATCGTAATTTCAACGTTTCGATCACTTTTAACTCCAGTGTTTTCAATGCATCTCGTCTGTTCACGTTAAAATCCGTCAAGTTTTCATATGCCATATTCTCTCTAATAGTAGTGCACCGTAAGCTTCGCCTAAATGGCTCGAAATCTCGAGAAGCACCTATCAGAACCTATCGATGTGGGGTCGGAAAATGTAGCTGACGATGAGATCTTGTGGGGGATTTGAGTGTTGAGCTTCTGGGGAAAACTTGGAAACTGTAAAATAGTCACTAAAATAGATTATTTCAAGATGATCATCATAAATACCGTATTTTCTCTAATAGTAGTGCACCCCGGCGAGCCGAGTTGGTGACTATTTTACGGTTTCCAAGCTTTTGCAGAAGTTCAACACTCAAATGTGCTCCTTGTTGACAGACAATTTGTCAGACAAATTTTCATTGACAACTTTTTTGTCAGACAATTGATCCGACAAACTTCCGACAACGCGTTTTGCTAAAAGGTGCGCTTTTTAAGCAAAGCTATAAAGGTCGCGCGAAAAAAATTTGCAAATTTTTCTTAAAATATAGTAATGGATAGTTTTATTTAAGGATTTAGGTTTTTTAGGGCGTGAAATTTTTTTTTGGAATGGTTCTAGTGCAAATGTAGACATTAGGCCTGTTAAATTCGTAAATAATATCATTTTTTAATAGTGTTTCTTAACTTTTCCCGTTTTAAATGTTTTCTTTAATTTTACATAGCATTTAAAAAATTTTAAATTTTAGCGAAAGAGTAATAGAAAAAAAGAGCGCAAGATTTTAATGTACATTTGCATTTTGAAAAATTTGCTGATGCAAAGCATAGGGTTACGGTAGTTTATCCTTGGCCCGCGCTTTTTAGAAAACGCGTTGTCTGCAAGGAACACACTCTAGTCCAAACGGCCCATTGAACAACTTTTGACGAAAAATAGTCAGGGAATTAGGTAAACCTAATTGCCTGACTATTTTTGGTTAAAAGTTGTTCAATGGGCCGTTTGGACAGCTCTACGAGACTTATCTATACGCAATTTTAGACGTGAAAGTTATCTCGCTATTGAGTGGAATCAGAGGAAGACATGGACGAGTTTATCGGTGGACCGCATTTAAAGAAATGATTTGGTTCGTTCGTTTAAATTTGTATCGGGTGTCGAGGGAATTGTCTTAAGGACTGGCTAAAAGGAAGATTTTTGGACAGAATTGCAAAGCAATTTTTAGAATTGAACAACTCTGAACTGTGTTTTGTACAAAGTTGAGTAGATGAGTAGATGAGTAGAAAGCTTTGATGCTTGAAAAGAAAGCTTTGATGCTACAGTGCGTTTCAAATTCTTAAACGCACCCTCTAAAATAGCGAATTTTGCATTTTGACCACCGCTTTTGACGTTTCTACACTTAAAGCAGCAATTTTTTCGGCCTGGAGCTATCTCGACGTCTCTGCTCTTCAAAACCTCCGTTTTTGCTCCTAAATCCAACCGTTCCGGACTTGTTTCAATACGACAACTCGTCAATTCATCGAGCCGGAGACACCCGAGACTGGCTGAACAACAACAACAAGCAACTTTGGACTGGCCCGCTCAGTCTCCTGACCTCAATCCGATAGAAAATTTATGGGGAATACTTGTCCGAGCTGTCTACAAGAATCATCGTCAGTTTCAAGACGTTTCTACACTTAAAGCAGCAATTTTTTCGGCCTGGAGCTATCTCGACGTCTCTGCTCTTCAAAACCTCATCAATTCAATGCCAGACCGCATTTTTCAAGTAATTAATCGTTCTGGTGCGTGTACAGATTATTAGTTTTGATTTTTTACCTTTGATTGTTAATTTGTATCAATAAATTATTTTTCGTGTTATTTAGTTTTTAAGACATGCTCTTTCTAATAGAAAAAGATTAATAGTTGGTCAAAATGCAAAATTCGCTATTTTAGAGGGTGCGTTTAAGAATTTGAAACGCACTGTAGCATCAAAGCTTTCTTTTCAAGCATCAAAGCTTTCTACTCATCTACTCATCTACTCAACTTTGTACAAAACACAGTTCAGAGTTGTTCGATTCTAAAAATTGCTTTGCAATTCTGTCCAAAAATCTTCCTTTTAGCCAGTCCTTAAGACAATTCCCTCGATACCCGATACAAATTTAAACGAACGAACCAAATCATTTCTTTAAATGCGGTCCACCGATAAACTCGTCCATGTCTTCCTCTGATTCTACTCAATAGCGAGATAACTTTCACGCACTGTATTTACATTTACAACAATTTTAACACGGCAGGCATGAACAAATGCTCGACGTATCGGAAGTTCTCAATCCAATTTTTACTCGTTATTTCAGATTGCCTGTCAAATATTGAGCTGTTGATTCCGGTTTCAAAGTTCAACGACAGACTTCCTATAAAGATTTCCATAACAATGAGACATTGGTGGCCTCGATGAACTCAATTTGAACTCGAAATTCACATTTCGGCACAATGAAACTAACTTTTTTTCACTTTCCACTCTAGATTTGAATAATTTTTCTGGAGCTTTGATGTGAGAATGCGTCACTACGTTTCGTTGCGAGATCAAAGCAACGAAAAGCTGCCCAACCTCTATATAAGTACTTTGAAGCGCGAATCGTTTTGAGTACTCCACAAGTTATTCAATCAATCAATCAGAATGAGACATTTCCTTACCGTACTCCTCATTGTTTCTCTATTTTGTGCGTTGACCGCTGGCAGAAGGTAAATAAAAGAAAGCATTGAAAGGGTTTTGTGCACAAAATGGATATAAAACATAAACTTTCAGCCACGTCGGTCATGCTCATGGACCAGCTCATGTCGGCGTTCATCCTCATGGTTGGTTTTGAGTAGGATTTGAGTAGGATTTGAGTAGGATGAGTAAGATAATAAGAAAACTAGTAATAATATTAAGGTCGTTTCAAAAGTTGACACTTTTTAGGAAACAAATTGCCTGTTAATGATAATTTTTGAAGGTGAACATGGAAAAAAGCTTTTGAAGCACTAAACTTTCAGAGGTTGTCAACGGTGTCGATGCATCGATTGAGCCCGAGGAACATGTAGATACGGATGGGGATAGCTCGGAGGAGATTGATGGGTATGGGGGACACTTGAATTGGTGCTGGGAGCTCGTTGAGGAATGGATAACTTGTTAGGCATAGGCAACAGGCATATGCACATTTAAGAACAGATTTTGAGAATGACTTTGCCTAAAGCAGTTACTAACAATGAGTCTTTGTACTATGTTTTCAAAAGATCTCTTCTGATAATCATCGAGGAAAATGTAGATACGGATGGGGATAGCTCAGAGGAGATTGATGGGTATGGGGGAACACTTGAATTGATGCTGAGAGCTCGTTGGATAACTTGTTATGGATAGGACGTGGAATGGATAACTTGTTAGGCATAGGCAACAAGCATAGACAACAGTTTAAGAACAGATTTCGAGAATGACTTTGACTAAAGCAGTTACTAACAATGAGTCTTTGTACAATGTTTTCAAAAGAACTCTTCTGATAACTAGTTAAAGATGTTTTTGCAGATCTGGGTTGCCGGCTGTCTAGAAATCGATCGATAACTTCTTCGAAAACGACTTCGCCTGTAAATACGAGCTTAAAGCTTTTAGGGAAAGCTTAACAAATAAATTTTGTACATAGAATATTGTCATTTTTTAAAATATTTATACAAAAAAGAGTTTATTAGAGTAAAAAATAAACAAAAAACAGTGAAAACAGAGAGAATTATTATTTCTTATTAATCACAGAACAATGACGACAAAAAAACTACAAAAACTACTAAAAACTACTAAAATTTGTACACAAAAATTAATTAGAAGAAAATAACAATGAGAATTACGGTGAATGAAGGTTTTTAAATGAAAATTTGCTTAATTTAAGTCAGTTTCATTTTCTAGAAGACTAGTGGATTTGGGGAGCTTATTAGCTTATTACTGGGGCACATTTTCGGAAATCACTCGGTAAACGAGGCTACAGTCGACTCAAAAGACACTGCACTGTGGTACTGTAGTCGAAAAAAAAAGACACCGGTTTCAGTCGGACTACAGTAAACCGGATAGGAAAAATGTGTTATTAAAAGAAATCAAAAGAAATCGAATAAAACTGCTGATGAGATCGGGGTGCACAAAAGAAGTGCACAAAATGGGTTACGGTAGGTTTGGTGACGATAACTGGGTACTGGAGTTGTTCTTAATGAAGTTATTGTCAAATAGAATACAGGAATCTCACTTTTTGGTTATAGTTAAGTCTATAATTCACCAAACACTACCGTACCCGGTCGACAACGAGTTACAAGAGCCGGCGCGTTTCAGAAAACGCTGATGCATGAGCGAATGAGGGGAAAGAGGGGATTGTGGACGAGGAAGGGGTGACGGGAGAATGGGTGAAGGGACAGTCAGGGTATTCAGGGAAATCCCTTGCACTTTCTCGATGAGATTCAAACGAAGAGCGTGTCGATTTGGACGGACGACGACGGAGTTTCTTCTTGAGATCGACAACTCTTCATCGACATCGTCGAGCATCGAGGAGACACCTGACGAGGCATCCGAATCAAAATCTTCCGTCTCGAGCTCGGGAATCGTCATCTGAGATTTGGTTTTTGTTTTGGAAAGTTCTGAGTACAGGAAAGTACTTGTTACGGTAATTATTCGACTTGTGACTGTGACTAAAGCTCAAATAAACAATTTTGCATTTTTGGTCTTCTAGAATTTGGCGTACTTGTTCAAATAGCAATTAAGATTTAGCGATTTTTCCCTTAAAACCCATTATTATCGGACGAATATTGGGGGATTTCAGTTTGTTGACTGAATATCTTGAATTTTTGTTGAATAGACAAAAGTAGTCAATACATTATCACAAGATATCTAGTTAAAAAACAAAAACTCGCCTTTGTTATGTATTTTAAAGCGTTCAGTACCTAGATCTAACATTAAAACAATTTTCAAAACCAAAAAGCGCTCAGTCTTGCGGTTTCCTCAATAGCCGGAGCTTTTGGCATTGCAAACACAATTTCTGCATCACTGCGATCTCAGCGGGAAAGCCGCTCTTTTTATGACCCCCTCAGCGTCCCTGTGCCAGAAAGCGCGCGTTTATGGGCGACCACAGAGAACGCGGGAAAAGTTGGCGAAAAGAGTGAGATCGCTGAATCGATTGGATTTGATCGCTGATCGCTTGGATTTGATTGTCGCTAGCTAGCTAATCACTTTTGATTTATAAAGGGATCAAAATTTGAGTGAATTTCCACGATTTCTCACCTCATCATCCCAGGCCAATTCCCGTCTCCACCAGTTCTCGGCCGATGTCCCAGCACATCTCGTCCTGTAGACGGTATCCAAGCGATCACTTTGCTCTTTCGTCAAATAATTCTTCCAATCTCGGCTGCCGCCTTTTCGAATGAACTCCGTCTTGTGCCTGCAGCTAAATAATGATGTCATTGAGAGGGGGTCAAAGGGGTTAGAAAGAAAGTTAGATGAGCATATTGAGATTTTGGTAATATTGATATTGATATTGATATTGATATTGAATAGTTATAGTTAGAATTGGAAGCATGTTTAGATAATAGTTAGAGCTATTAATCGTTAGACAAGCATCTAAATGATAGCTAGATTTTGCTTAAGAATTGCAATGTTGGTTAGAATTGACGGTTAGACTTGTGCCGGTGGACAGCCTATCCCTCAAATTTCCTTAGTGCTATTCTTTTAGCTACTTTAGCTACCGTATTTCATTTTAAATGAGTAGTGTTAGTATCGAAATAACTTACAAAATACTCTCTGGGAACCATCTCCCTTGATCTTGTTTCATCGAGTCGAGCTTCGAGGCATCGACGACTTGTTGAAGTTTCTCGATATCTTGCACCAATTGAGCTGCGTGTCCGCCGAGGAAAGTCCCGATTCTAAATGAATTTTTGAATACCGTAATAATTCTAATAGAAGACCAGTCTCTAATAGAAGACCAGTCTCCAATAGAAGACCACCCCCTTGACCCCTTGAAATCGGGACTTTTTAAAACTTCTGTTCAAGTAGAATGAAAGATTTGGGTCCAGATAGTAATATTTTAGCCCCGGCAGTAAAATTGGAGACGTAGTTTTTGAAAAAAATTAAAAAATAACTTTTTGGAAAAATTTCATGTGGTCCCCTACATGGATTTTTTTGAAAGATTTTCTATGGAGTCCGGGCAAGAAAATAATTTCACTTTTAGACATGTTTTTGGCATCTTTTGGGGCAAGGGCTATCGTTTGAAATCGTTTTTAACTATTTTTAATTTTTTGATTCATGTGGGGGACCTTTACCTACTTTTTTGACTCACCAATTTTGGGGGGTTGAAAATTAGAAGACCATGGTCTTCTATTAGAATTATTACGGTATCTTGCTTATAAATTTAGTAAACTTATAGAAGTTTTTTTTACTTTTGCAAGACTTTTGCAAGACTAACCTCTGCACAGCTGTCGTCAAATCCTCATACATCTCCTCGTAGGTCAAGAACAAGACATTCGGGCTTTCCAAACAGGGTAACCAGCTGGAAATTTTGAGATAATTACATGTTATAAAGATTAGATTTCTATTTTCAAATATAATATTATTTATTTACCCTAAAAGGTGATCAAAATAGTCTCCAAAAGCCAATTGTCCGGAGATGAAAAGCTCGAAAAATGCGTCGAAAGTCCCGTCGGCCCAGTTGTAGATCTTGAAGTTTCGATTGTGATGGTAGTAGCTAAAAAGTATTCAAATGATTTATCTGAATAGAAAAATTCGATATTCAGCTTACCTAACGAGGCAATCTTTCGGATTTCGCACGCAGTAGATGTACTTGGCTTTGGAGCTCTTTGGGACATTCATCATCGCGAAATGAGTCTAGAAAATGGATCAATTCGATAAGAAATATCTTGAAAATCAATGAAAATCAATATTAAAATATATCTGAACTGAAATAATCATATATTAGAATGGGTTTTCAAAAGTTACCTTGAGAATTCTGGGGGTTTGAATCGAGTCTGAGAAGGTGGCGCCCATACGCTCGATCATCGGTGATTGAACGCACATCTCTGAAAAGGGAAATGTGATTTGTGTTTGGGTATAGCTTTGTTATATTGGATTTATTTGGATAGATAGATCTTTGTTAGATTTACTTTGATTTGGCTACTGTTTTGCAACTACCTTTCCCAGCGCCAGTCTCGTATTTCTCTTGGCGAACGAGTTGATGAACGATATGCTGAAGCCAGGTGGTTCCGCACTTCGGGTACGTGCAAATGAAGACATCGTCCTCGCGTGGATGCATCGCTTTTGCGGAGCTGAAAATGTGAAATAAGAAATGGTAAGAAAAAGTAAGAAATGGGAAGAAGGTTTCAGTAACTCTTTGGAGTCTTTGGACGAAAGTTGAGTTTCAGTTTCAGTAACTCGTTTGAGTCTGTTTCTGTCTCCGGCTCTATTACTGATCATCATCTACTGATCATCTATTACTGATCATCATCTACTGATCATCTACGACTTCTATTACCCTATTTCTATCACTCAATCAACTCACCGAACATTGTCAGGAGTGAAGATTGGTGGCCAAATCTCTCCATCGATGACACATTGCCGTGGATGACCCTCGGGTTGATAGATTCGAGCGTCATTTGGGCCCTAGAATTGATGAGTCAGAAAAAAAAATTGAAAAAGTTTTCATTAAGGCATTTTATGTCATTTCATTTTCTTCAACTTTTAACACCAAAGTTTTGGTGATAATTTGCTGAAAGCAAGCTTTGTGTAAGTTGCAATTTGGAGGGAAATTATCTGTTTCGCAGAAAAGAGAAGAAAAAAAATTCTGATTTTTGTGTATAATTAGCGGTTAGAGCTATTTTCTATAGAAAATAGGAGAAAAAGAGGTAAAGTTTTGCAATCTGTGAAATCATTAGAAAAATGATTTCCCAAAAGTGATGTGGGTGGATGAAATGGAAAGGAGAATAGAGTTGGGGAAATGGTTGATTTTGAGAAAACGAGATCACGAAGTTTTGGAGTACTCAAATGTGCTGAGTGTTTATGACTTTAAAAAGAACTCGAATTTTAAATTAGAATTGAAGTGGAACTGGCTGCTTAGAAATATTTAGAAAGCTTTTTTAATCGATTTGTAGCCGGGAACTAGAATCGAGTTACGAGAATACGATTTTCAACTTATTTCAGCAGAACAAAACAAGTTCAAGATCAAGAAAAAGCTTAATAAAAAGCAAAAAGGTACAAGCGTTTAGCATATTAACAAAATCTTTTATCTAAGCTAAGCTTTTATCTCTCACCTTGCGAAAGATCGGAGTCGGCGTTTTTGCAATGGGCGTTGGTGGAGGGCTTGTCGACGGGAGATCGTTTTCCTCCAATTGCAGCAATTTCAGCCTCAACGTGTTCTGTTTCGAGTAGTTCGGGTTGGAGCGTATTTTGCTCATTTTCGAATTTAGTTCAATTTCAAGAATTTATTTGATTTAGTGAATTTGGGGCCTTATATAGGCTAAATGAAGGCCCGCCCACTGTGCTTAAAAATGAAAATTTCGAAAGGGTAAACAGGCAGCAAATTAGTGGCCTCGAAAAAGTCACGGGCCTTAAAAATTGCGGGTTTCGAGTTGGGTATTGCAAAGATCTTTGAAGAAAGTTTTTTCCCATGATTTATTTACCGTTCTTGTAAGGGATTACGGTAGTCTGGTCTGGTAAAGGTCTGATCTGGTAAAGGTCTGATCTGGTAAAGGTCTGGTCTGGTAAAGGTCTGGTGAAGGTCTGGTAAAAGTCTGGTAAAGGTCTAGTAAAGGTCTGGTGAAGGTCTGGTAAAGGTCTGGTAAAGGTCTAGTAAAGGTCTGGTAAAGGTCTGGTGAAGGTCTGGTAAAGGTCTGGTAAAGGTTTTACTATAGTATGTTTATTCGAAATATTCACCATCCCTACAGTAGTTGAGATAAAATATTTTGCAGGGATTTTACTGTAGAATTGATTATTTAAATATTTCTTGATTTAGGCTGAACTACGATAGTTTGAAGGCTATGAATGAGGTTGATTTATTTGAGTTCTTCACTCTTTCAATTGGTTTACGGTAGCCTAATAAGTTTATAGGGTAAAGTCAGCCTTATATACTTGTCCAGAGAGCTGTTCTTTTTAAAATCTCGTACAATCTCGACAACTCGACAATTATTTTAAATAAAAAAGCACGGCAAAGGAAAGATTGAAGTAAACAATAGCAGTACATTAAAGTACTTTAGATACAAGGTTTAACTCAAGTGTACTAGAGTAGCTGTGAATCTGTAAAGTACTGTAGACTAGTTATGTAAACATTTATACTGTAAACTTGTGCCTTATAGTAGTTAGAATTTCTTAAAATTGTATTTATTGTAGAGATCTTTTAAAATATTGGGTTGATGGAAAAGTCGTTTCCGATTTTTTGGGAGAGTACCTTGAATTTGTCGAATTTAGACGTTTTATAGCTCATCCGAAAGCTGAATTCAAGACGGATCGATTGGTAAAAACCGTTTTGAGATATCTCTTTTTCTAAAAATTTTTACAGCTATTTTAGTAAAGGGTGGCAGAGCCAAAAAATGGCTGTTTTCACGTTTCGTTAGTTTTCCGTGCAGGAACCTAGGCTAAAAACATGTGTTTTGTTTGTGCGAACTTTGGCTGGACAACCTTTTTTTAAAAACAAAAAAAAAAAACGAGAAAAACGAAAGAAAATCGCGAAAAGCCGCGGAAAGGCTATTGATCTGAGGGTCGCTGGTTCGACTCCCACCGGTGACAATATTTTTCAAAAATTTTTTGCTAAGATTCTGAAAATGCGTGTCTAGGGGTTATTTTTGACGCCGATCACGAAACACATGTTTTTTAGCCTAGGTTTCTGTACGGAAAACTAACGAAACGTGAAAACAGCCATTTTTTGGCTCTGCCGCCCTTTACTAAACCCAATACATAAAGCTTATCAAGAAAAACATAAGATTTAATGGTTTACTTAACTTATAAACATCAGAATTTATAAAGTAACCGTTTGGAAAGTCACGTATAGTCAATATAATAAAGATTACTTATGGGTAAATCGGGGATGAGCTTTTAAAAGTACTAATAATGGTTAACTGAAAATAATGACTGGGTCATTTTAGTCAATTTGGTCGAAAAAAAAATCGATTTCAAGTAATTTGAAAAGCTTTTAAACCATTATCTTCTTTCTAAACATTCTCGAAGCTTTTTGTAGATACTGTAGGATGATTAGAAAAGAGAAACTGGACTTGCTCATTTGCAGGCATGCAAGCATTGAAAGGAAAAATCCCCCACTCTCCCCACTCTCCCCACTCTACAGTAATCTTTAAGCAGCTGGGTGAAAGATAGAAAACTAGACATGTTTTAAGATGAATTTCTAAGCTTTTAACGTTTAGGTTAAAAGCTTAGAAGCGTATTCAAATCAAATAAGTCTATTTGATTTGGATACGGTAGGTAAAGCAGAGGATTGTTTTAAAATAAACTAGCCTTGAAAATACGAATATTTTGTTTGCTATTTGTTTCTATTTCAGAGATCATTTTGTGGCCAGACCAGCGATTTGATAAGAAACTGTTTGCATTGACTCTCAGAAATCAAAAATCTTGCTGCTCACTTTTAAAAGTTTGTGGAAACTAGAATAAAAGAAACTGGCCTTAAATGATGTTATAAATGTTTAACAATACTAAAAGGAAATCTAAAGAAACTAGACAACTGACTATTTAGATTCTAAAGTAAGAATTCTACAGTAGAAATCTTATTGATTGTTCATAACTTGGCTTGTCTTGTAGCCAGGGATTTCCGGATCCAGATCTGGATCTCTACATCTGGATCTGGATCTCACAAAGAACGAAAAGACGACTACGTGACACTCCAATAGACAGTCCATAGTACTGTCGTGTAGTCATCTTTTTGTTCTTTGTATGCTTGTGTAGAGATTTGGATCTGGATTCGGATCTGGATTCGGATCTGGATCTGGATCTGGATCTGGATTCGGATCTGGATCTGGATCTGGATCTGGATCTGGATTCGGATCTGGATCCGGATCCGGATATCCCTCCTTGTCATCCAGAAAACTTGTGTAATTTTCGATTTCCATAGAAAACTACCTGTATTCAAACCAGCAACTCTTCGAGCGTCGAAGCGGTGATTTTGGTAAATGGTGAAAGCTTGTTGTCGCCACTTCAAAAGTCATTTAAAGTGTTGCAAAATTCTCCAGAAAAAAAAACTGCAGAAATGATGAGATGACTAGAAAAATTGGGTGCAAAGAGAAATCTGTGCGGTGTGTGCAATCTCCGAAATATCGTCCGTTCCTGAGTGTTGGGAAAAAAGGTTGAAAAAAACTCAAAATAGATCCTCTCGCTTTGCCCGATTCATTCAATTTGTGTGTTTGAAAATCATTCAATTTGACAAGGAAACGCCCAGATTTTTCTCTCTTCGGTGAGAAGAAAAATGATGACGTTAAAGAGACAAAAGTTTGAAAAATGACACTGAGCGATTGGTGGAGGAAATTGGGGAAAAAAAGGGGAAAAGAGATGAAAAGTGATCGGGTCCTTCTCGTCTATCAAAAGCTATTTTTAAAGGTGATCGGAATTTTGATTTGTTTGAGAGAATCGAAGAAGAAATTGGAAAATCGTTGAGTTGATCGAAGGTTTTTTTAAACTTTAAAAGAACCCTAATTCGTTTCCCCCTAAGACCCTAACCGTAAGATCGAAGAATGTTGGAGGGTGCTAATATATAGGAAAGCTGGATTTTATGACCCACCAATCCTCTGAATTCTACACCATGAAGACTACCGTAGAGGGTGCGCCAGAATTACCTTTTCAGCAGATTGCATGCCAAACGCCGCAATCAATTCAAAAATCCGACCAGTCACCGGATTGATTGGATTGCGCTTATTTGTGGGTCTGAAAAATGGGTTGCAAAACTCCAAACAAAGATCTTTTGGTACAGAAATTTAGGCGAGAATTCAGGTTTCAATTCTCTACATAAAATTTAGGGTTTTTGAATTCTCAACATTCATGCTCAATCACTTGATTGCACGGATTTAAGGCTAATTTGTGCCGATCGAATTGCAGCAGCGTGGCGCAGTGGAAGCGTGCTGGGCCCATAACCCAGAGGTCGATGGATCGAAACCATCCGCTGCTAACCAACTTTTGCTTTCTTGCAAAAACATTCTTTACCTTGTTGTTAATGTTTGCGTGAATGTTGCAGGGTAAAAATATATAGGAGAGCTGGATTTTATGACCCACCAGTCCTCTGAATTCTACATTTCTAATTCTCATCATGAGAACTACCGTACAAGGTGCGCCAGAATTACCTTTTCAGCAGATTGCATGCCAAACCCCGCAATCAATTCAAAAATGCGACCAGTCACCGGATTGGTTGGATGGCGCTTATTTGTGGATCTGGAAAATGGGCAGCAAAACTCTAAACAAAGATCTTTTGGAACAGCAACGTAGGCAAGAATTCAGGCTTTCAGAAATTCAGAAAATTGGGGAAAAGGGAAAAAAGATGTAAAGAGATCGGATCCTTCTCGTTTATCTCGTTATCAAAGCTATTTTTAAAGGTGATCGGAATTTTGATTTGTTTGAGAGAATCGAAGAACAAATTGGAAAACGGCTGAGTTGATCAAACTTTAAACTCCGCAAAGAACCCTAATTCGTTTCCCGTTTATTTTTTGTGCTCTTGCTTTTGTTCGAGACTAGAATCAACGCTAAAATGTGTGTCGAATCAACTTCTCCGGAACAAATGTCTTAAATAAATTGAGTAGATCAAGAAGAAAACCTTTGTTTTCACTTTTTTCAAAATTTCTGATCTCTCAGTTCTAATCGTTAGCAAAAATCTGGAAACTAATCGATAAATTCTTTTCTTTTCTTTTCTTTTCTTTTCTTTCCTTCTTTCTTTCTTGTCTTTCTTTCTTTCTTTCTTTCTTTCTTTCTTTCTTTCTTTCTTTCTTTTCCAAGCATTTGATTATTGTTTTAGGGATTTTTGCAAATCGTTTGAAAAATATTTACTCGTCTCGTAAAGGAGTGCATTTTCTCTGCAAAATACCCATTTATAGTTGTTATTTGTCTTGAAATTTTGTTATTTTTGGATAAATAGTAAAAGAATTTTCCTTTAGTTTGATAAACAAATGGGGAAATTTGAGAGTACGTGACTTATGTGAAAACCCTTTTTTATTTCATAGAACAAGGGGCGGAAAACTGAAAAATGGATTCGATTGGAGATGGAGGAGGATTGAGACAAACAAAACGATTGGAGATGAACTGGGGAAAGATTGGAATTGAATGGAATTGAATGGAATTGAATGGAATTGAATAGAATTGAATGGAATTGAATGGAATTGAATGGGTGAGAATGGAATCATTTCTCTACAGATTATTGTTAACTAGAGATTTGAAAATGGCTAAATTAGATCCAAAAAAATTCAGGTTTATGTAA